GAATTCGGTTTCATGCTTTAGCTTTGTGCTTGTCATTTAGGCTTTGGAATAATCATACTTGCTGGGACTGAAGCACTTGATGGTAGGCAAGCTATGGATTGATTGAAAACTTAGTGAGTTGCTCTTTTCCCTAATAGTTCTAGCCATACACTTGTGGCCCTTCCCAGATGAGATGTAATGTGATGCAGGATTTTTTATCATAGAAATGATGGGTAAATTCCTAACTCATAATGCCATATTTGTGGTCCTTTTCCTGGCAGATAGGCAAATAGAGCCTCTGCTCTATTGGCAAATGTCCTTTACCGAGCTATTTACAGAGACAGTGATTTTATGAGAAGATGCTCCATTTTCAAGAAATAGACTCATCATTCCAGGAAGGGAACTAGCTACTGAAATATGACAAACTTTACAAAAGATATTTTATCCCTTTTGGTGCAAATCTTTCTTGTCTGGTTGGTAAATATATCCCCAAGGATGCTTGAGAGGAGTAGAAGAGGCTAAGATTTCTTGCTTGCACTGGCCCTGGGTATCTAGGTCTCCTGAGACCTTGGCTTGATGTGCTCTTTGTAGACTCTGAGAAGGTGGCACAGAAGCTTCAGCTCCAACGCAGATTTACAAAGGTTATAGCTACAACTCAGGTAGCACTCAGACTCAAAAACTATTAACTTTTAGCTTGAGATTTGGGATTGAGATTCTCCATCTTTCATTCAGATGGTCCCCACTGGAGTAAAAGCACTAAGAGAAAGGAGAGCAGAAGTCCTTAAATGATCATGTCAACTCTGAGTTCCGAGTGGAACCAGTTCCTGTAAGTCCTTGGAGTGTAACTCATCACTACTGAACACACCTTCGATATTATCCACAGATAGAGCATCAGTCCCGGTTATTCAGGACATAGAAACTGCTGCTGCTATAGGTAACTTGTGCATGCTCTTGGTTCTAAATAAGGCATAGATTACAAGAATTTTAACTTTGGCCATGGATATTACTCACTTATTTCTGGTCTGATCTCAGCTGGAATAGTTACTTGACAAGGCATTCATGTGGCCGAGAAACTCTGCCTCTTTTATTTAAGCTGCTGATAGATTTAGCTGTTCCCTCTTTTGAAGATTTGCACATTTCCTGGCTTACTTGGAACTGGTACCATGTGGGATCAAAGATGACTTGAGACCCTGTATTAATTCTAATAAATGTTAAAACAAAAGTTAAGCTCCATTTTCTGGTTCCTGTTGTAACTGGAAAGAATAGCTCATTCACAAGAAGAGAATGAATTAAATATTCAGAACAGTGTGCCTTATCTATTCCAAATGTGGATATAGATAAACGCTTTGCCTTCCCCTCACTCTTATCATACAGCAAAGAAAGTCACATTTGGTAACAGCTCTGGGGCCCTCCTCTGGGTCTTTAGTTCTGGGGAGGAGGGGGCCGGCTGTCTTTTACTGCCCATGACCCCTCTTGCTCCACAGCTTTGTCTCCCTATTGCTGCAGAGATGCTCATCATGATGGATGGTGCTGTTGCTACCCGTGCCATGCTCCTTCAGCCTCCTTTGTTGATGTATGTGGGTGTATGTGGGTATCTGGGAATAATTTTGCTTTAGCGAAGATAGAAATCATCCCTCAACTTTGCTTGGGGCTTGGGTCCCCAAATGCCAACCTGAATTCAATTTTATGGACCATCTCATGAGCTTATCTCAGAGTTCAGGAGTCTTATAGCGCTTCTAGGATTACTATTCTCTCTACCCAGAATCATGGCCCTCAACTTGTAAATCTCCAACATAGGAGCTTAGAGAAACAAAAGGAAAAATAAAACCTGGCAAACTAAATTCCTATTGATGACAAGTGGTCTAATATTTCAGTTCTGTGATACTTTCTCAGGTTTTTTTAGTCACAAAAGTGTTCTTGCTGGATAGTGAAAAGTCTGTAGGCTTTTAGTATGGTAGTGTAGTTCTATTGCGTGAGGGATATAAATGATTCCAAGATATTTCAGAAGAACCAAGGATTGTTAGCATTGTTCATTACCAATACAATTATATGACTCCATTTCTAAATGGGGTCCAAGGTAAGTTTCAGTTTCTTTGTAAGTAAAATGGAGGAAGTAATTTTTACCTAATGTGGTTGGTGTGAAAATTAATGCAACAAAACTTAGCAGTATGTTTGGCATGGAACAGTGTGAAGGATTAGTTAGTCTTTTCCGACTCTTTGCGACCCCATGGAACCCATGGACTATAACCCACCAGGCTCCTCTGTCCATGGAATTCTCTAGGCAAGAATACTAGAGTGTATTGCAATTCCCTTCTCCATGGGATCTTCCTGACCCAGGGATCAAAACTGGGTCTCCTGCATGGTAGGCAGTTTATTTACAGTTTGGAATGAAATAAGCACCTGATAAAGGTATAGCCATACACATGAACACACACACACACACACACACACACACACACACACTTTTATTTCCGCTCTCAGTTCTTGTCCACTTACACCCTCTGTTTATAAAACTCTGTCTAGCCCTTACTCTGGCCCAATTTCTAGTATTTAACCTGTTGTTACTGATGTTCCTGTCCTACTGTTCTTTACATGGTCATACGTATCTTTGCCCTACTACAGTGACTTTTGAAGGGAACCTAGTTATGGTGGTGATTTTATGATTCAAACCTTGTTTGAAAGATGATGAACATGTCCAGAGAATGTAGGTAATTTTCCCTAAATCACACGATTATCAAATCTAGATTTCTGAGTTGTCAGTGTTGTCTTTTACTTGTGTCCCCAAGACCTTTGGACCTATGAGGAGAGTCTGGGCAAAGCATGGGATTTAGATTGATAAAGGATTCTGGTCATAGGTAAGAGAGGACTTAATAGTGACAAGATGGTTATAAATCATGTGACCTTGTGCAAAGTACTTATTTTTCCTGTTTTAAGATAATATGTACCCTGCTTACCTCATAGGATCTTGTGAGATCTGGATTCTAGACAATGTGGGTGAAAATGTTTGTAAACTGAAAAATGCTGCATAAATACTAATTTTATTATAAACACATAACACTGTGTGGTGTATATATAACTGTTATAGGTATGCATGCATATGCAGGTATATGTATGCATGCGTGCTAAGTTGCTTCAGTTGTTGCTAAGTTGCTCTTTGTGACCCTATGGACTGTAGCCTGCCAGGCTCCTCTGTCCCTGGGATTCTCCAGACAACAATATTGGAGTGGATTGCCATGCCCTCCTCCAGGGGATCTTCCCAACCCAGGGATCAAACCCACATCTCTTACGTCTCCTGCATTGGCAGGAAGATTCTTTGATGCTAGTGCCACTAGGGAAGCCCATGTAGGAATATATGTATAGCTTAATAAATGAATGTACTTTTAATAAAAACCATTTTTAGCAAAACTCAATCCTTTGCATATCTTTTATCTGTGCTGTCCAATTCATAATCATCTGTGGTAGGCTTTCCGTGTACTGCAAGGGGAGCTCAATATCTTGGAGGTTAGACTAAGAATGGGGAAAAATGCAGATAGATATTTTGTTGCATTTGAATCCAAGTCAACCATTTGGGTCCCTAGCAGGTAGGAAAGCCCCATGCCCATAGTGTATCAGGAGACATTGACTTGGAAAGGCTCATTAAATGGAAATATCAAGTCTTTTTCAGCTTCATAGATATTAAGATTATTCTTTGACTTTCAGTGGATAATTTACTAAAATTAACTACTCTCTTTATGATTTAGAAAATGAAATAGGATTCTAGTTTCTGGTCATATAGGAATATATAAAGAGAATGCCGAAACTGCAATTTCATTGCAACTTGGGGACCTTCTGCAGTTGACTGGTGTTGATGACTTAGAGGACTGTCCAGAAAGAGATTTGAGGCTGAATGTAGATCGTCGGACAAGTGTTGTAATCCATCTAGCAGTGTCTGCCATAGATTCAGATGGGAATAATGCATGTACATAATGGAAATAGCACCAAGCCCTTGGTTATAATGCCAGGTTATAATGCATATACCCGGAAGATCTTGAATAAGACCCTTAACCACTCAGAACTTCAGTTTTCTTCACTTGCAAAACAATTTACATGGCCAGACTTCCCACTGGGAAGTGGTCCTCTCTGGTTTTTTTAATATTCTGTTACTGAGAGAAGTGCAGTTAACACAATTTTATTCTTGTTCATGGAAGTATACTTTTACTAGGAATATAACTATCTTTAATAATTACAAAAGTGTGATTCTACCCTGCTTACCTGTAGGATCTTGTGAGACCTAGAGTCTAGAGAATGTGTACATAATATTAAGACACAAATAGTGGCTTCAGATCCTCCAGTTTTTGAAGTAGTAAACTCTCCAGACCATCAAGAATATGAAAGAAATTCTATTCCTTTTAAAATGTCTTCTCTGAACATTCTTTTGGCTATAGCTGAGGAAAATAAAATTAATAATTATATTTTTGAGGGATGGAAGCTGAATGTGTTTGTCTTGGAACCATTCATCATCCTTCTGTGACTCTCAAAATGAGAGAGAGAATTGCTAAATCTTTATTCTCCATTAAGAAAAAGGAATCAAATGCATACTTCCCTCCTTTCATTTAATATAAACATTTATTAAATATTTTATCCTCCCAGCTTTCTAAAGTCAGGCTTAACCTTGACTCTAGATTTTTTTCTGCCTTATTTTAGCAAAATTGTTTTTTCCAATTAAAAAATTCTACACATTGCAGCATGTATTCAAATGATATGAACCCCAGAAAGTCAACAGTGGCATCTCCTCACCTGAAGTTTTCCAGAGGGAATCCCTCATGTGCTGCAGGCTTCTTCTACACATCATTTTCTTTCTCTGGGCTTTATGGTTTTCTTCTATTCCATATTCTAATTTCATGTAAAGGGCTGGAAAGTTACGGATGGCCACTCGGCATCATCATTAAGGCTAGTGGAGGGGATTAGTGAACTTAGGTCGTGTTTGCCATTGGCTTTTGAGGAAAAGATCCCCGGTCTAATCACTTGGTCTTTGTTTTCAGATCAAACTCCAACCCCAACGAGATTCCTGAAGAACTGCGAGGAGGTGGGGCTCTTCAATGAGTTGGACTGCTCCCTAGAGCATGAGTTCAGGAAGGCTCAGGAGGAAGAGAACAGCAAGCGGGTAGGTTCACCTGGACAGATGCCTGGACAAGTGTCTCCTCTAGCGCCTGCTAGACACGTCTGTGCTGAAACTAGGTGGCATTGCGTGTTGTGCTGATGTGGCTCTAAAACAGCATTTTATCCATTTGCAAGTGCTTTATGTGGGTTTTTTTTTTTTTAATGGATGAATCTCTGGTTGTGGTAGAAAAATCATGGGAAAAGCATATTATATGAAATATGGAATTCGAGCCAAAATATTATCCTGATTTTTTTTTAAATTGGAGGATAATTGCTTTACAGTGTTGTGGTGGTCTCTGCCATACATCAGCACGGATCGTAATTATTCTTGACTTGAGTCAGATAAACTCATGGAATTTTCCATTCAAAACTAGTTGTTTTACTTTGCTGAATAATGGCAAGATTTCCATGGGTGGTAAGTGCAGAAGGCAAGGACCAGAGGGTAAGATGACAAGTGAAGGATCATAGCAGTAAGAGAGAGGATTTCATCTGATCTTGACCCAGGCTATAACTGTCTGATTTCTGTCATCTTCCTGGTGTCTTTCTACCACATTTCACGGTTCCTTCTTGGTCATATTATCGTGTATTTGTTGTTGTTGAAATAACAACAATAAGTGAAATAGGTTCACTGTAAGTGTGCATTATTTGTTCTTACAAATGTAGAAAATCTACTTTATGAATCCCTCCAGAATATACTGTTTTTTTTAATTGTAATGTTGTGCCTGCATTTAAAAATCACTGTATCAGATTAAGGAAAAGAAATGGAGGCACAAGTAAATAAGATAATGAAGCTTTTTAGTATTTTTTAGTTTGTTTTTATAGACCATTATTGAATGCCCACAATGTACTAAACAACAAATTAGACATATCCCATGACCAGAGACTTAAACTGTGAAAGCTGGTTGAAAGGAGGTACCAGCTACACTGTAATGGATTCTGAATTTCCAGCTGTTCCATCCGGAGAAGAAATTTTAAAAGGCTCTGATATTTCTCTAAGTGTTTTAAAACCTTTGAATCTCCCTCTATGTGAAATTATAATAATCCCTCTCCACCAGATTTTTCATGTCACTTTCTCTCATCACAATAGCCGAGGGTCTGTATTCAGTCTGTACTGCTTTAGGAAAAGTCCTGAAAATAGGTTACGAGAGGGATATAAAATCTCAAGGAACTCATTTTATTTATAATTAGTTATTCATACTTGACCATCTCCTACCTCCCCAGCCCCAACCCAGTGAAGTGTTTTTTTAAAACAAACACTTATTTAGCACTTATTTGCCAGATGCTGTTCTGAGTACTTAAAATTTTTAACTAAATAAAAATAGAAGGCATGCATTCTATATTTCATTGCAATAGAAATAGATTTTTAAAAACCATAAAAATAGCAAGGAAGAGAGGAACCAAAAAGTCTAGTAAATTTACTCTGGTTGAGTAATAAATTTAGCTCTTCTGATGGACATGACATATGTAGACAACTGGGAGATTAAGTTCATTCATTCCTTGAGATAGTTAAGGTTGGCTTCTTCCGAACTATAAGTAAGGTGTATACTTGGTCCATATTGTCTTTTTTCTGACAGAAGGGTTTTAGTCAAGGTGTATGCCCTTGATTTTCCTGAAGATATTTACCAAGAACAGCAGCTTTAGAAGTCCATGATTGGGTTGTGGCTTTAGGTCTTCTTTGCATAGTACTCACCATCTCCTATATGAAGCCCCAGGGGAGGAAATTCTTACAGATCTGAATTCCAGGAAATGGTTTGCTTCCCCTGAGGAACTGAAATATTTTCTCCTTGTGGACATGAGAATTCTGTAACCAGTTCTGTTTCTCTTTTTGCTTTGCCTGCTTGATTAACACGAAGCCAAACTGACTGTTTACCTTTGAGAGCTTTTTAGAACACGGTGATGAGCATTTTACTTCCCCACAGACTAGACTTTCAGTTCCAGTTTATATTTCCTCTGGTCCCAATTTTTAATGTAGAATGTCATTTTCATGATCTGCATTTTCTTTGTGTGTGTGAGTTGCTTTTGATTCTCTGTGGGTTGAGTACAAAAAAGTGTTCAAGTTGGAGGACCATTGAAGAAATATGTTTTTCTTCTCTTTCAAATGTTGCTCTTAGCAACATTAGTCATGTGATGACTTTGAGAAGGGTGTGTGGGTGGGGGATCCTGCAGCCAGCTTCCCCCATGGTTTTGGGGTGGGCCGCTCAGGAGACCAGTGTCTCACACCCCAACTTCGTTTGCACGCACTGGAAGTTGGACGGCTTTCACACTGTTGAAGTCTCCTCTTCCATTGCCTTGTTCAAGCCAGTGGGCCAAATCCAGCCTCAGTGGCCACGGCTACACAGCAGGCACTTTGTTGAGGCTTAAGACAGGGTGACTCATCCAACGGCCAAGTGAGCTGTTTTGTGACTTCTTGTGTATGCTGGTGTGTTGGTGATTTCCTTGGAAGCCACATGATGGGGAAATGAGGAGTAGGAGATGCTCTCTCATCTGCCAACATATTTCTACTCATCCCTTCAACCACATTTCTCCAGCTCCCAACATCCTTGGCACACTCTCACCACCAGCTCCTACTTCATTTATTTGTTCCCTGCTTGAATAGTAGGAATACGAGTTCTTGTTTTAAAAAAAAGTCTTTCAGTTGGGAGGCATGTGGGATCTTAGTCCCCTGACCAGGGGGTGAACCTGTGCTCCCAGTATTGGAAGCATGGAGTCTTAAACACTGAACCCCCAGGGAAGTCCTGGAATACAAGTTCTTTATTCAGGGCATACCTTGTCATCATTAAGTTCTGTCTCCTCCTTCATCCCTTTTGCTGCACATTCAGATAACAATTCCTTTTTAATTCTATACTCCAACTCTCTTCTAATTTATTTTCCTCTGAGACTGTTAATAGAAGATTTGCATTAGTTCCCTCATGCTAAATCGCTTCAGTCGTGTCTGAGTCTTTGTGATCCTATGGATCGTAGGCTGCCAGGCTCCTCTGTCCATGGGATTCCCCAGGTCAGAATGGAGTGGGTTGCCATGCCCTCTTCCAGGGGATCTTCCCAACCCAGGGATCAAACCCATGTCTCTTATGTCTCCTGCATTGGCAGGTGGGTTCTTTCCCACTAGCGCCACTTGGGAAGCCCATTAGTTCCCTCAGCAAGTTTTATTTTGTAAAGTGGGAGATGGATTTGTTTATATGAAAAATTTGGTTTAGAAAGATTTTTGCTTGAACTTGCTAAATACTTTATACAGAAATGTTAGAAAGACTGAGCTGGTCCTTTCCTCCACCTTTAAAATTCTAGCTGAAGTTTGGTCTAGAAAATTCTATCAAAGAGCATATAGGGAGTTGATCGTTGTTTAGCCCATGTGGCTGTCTGTTGGGGAAAATTCTGTTCAACAGACTAACTTTAATCCTGATGCCATTTCCAAAAGCATCCCAATATGTGTATAGAGTGAGGATAGGCTAGAGGCCTGGTAATGAACAGGTAATGACCAATGGAAAAAGCCCCAGTGTCTGTATCCACAGCATGTATTATATAGCAGATGACGCATTCCATAATTGCCTCAACCTTCCACCTTAGCATAAACCCATAGCTTCAAAACTCTTTAATTAGAGATAGATTTTTTTTTCTCTTGAAAAAGCATTCCTCACTAGCAGTATCAGGATCTCAACTTGCCTAGTCAGGCTAGTGCATGTCCTGAAACAGATGAGAAACTTTTGTTCATCATTTATTCATGCAATAAATATTTTTGAGAGCCCATCACGTGTCAGGCACTGTCCAAGGCACTGGTGAATATACTATGGACTAAAGCTGATTTTAAAACAGAAAACAAAAATCCCTGACTTCAGGTTGCTTACTTCTCATGGGCAAGACAAACAGTAAACAAGTAAAAACAATAGAATATATAACATGTCTGAAGGTGATAAGTGCTGTAGAGAAAAATATTGCAGGGAAGGGGCATGGGGAGTGCTGGGGGTGATCTAGGGGGCATCACTGGTGAGCAGACATGCAGCTGTGACCTGAAGGAGGAAGTCTGAACCAGGTGTGTACTGGGCAGGAGAGTAGCGAGAGCAATAAATGCAATGCCCTGAGGCTGGAGGGTGCTCTTTGCTGGAGGGACAGCAAAGAGCAGGGTGTGCAGTGATGGGCAGAGTGGGCATACAGGGTCATATCCAAGAAGGCCGAGTAGGCTGCAGTCTGAGTGAGATGGAGAACCATGGGACAACTGTAAGGAGAGGTATCATAGCATCTAACAGACAGCAGATCTCCTATATACGAACTAGTTCCATTCCCAGAGAGCATTAGTCCCATTTCTTTCTAAGTCCAATAAAGTTAGCCTAGATACCCAACTAACACAATCGCTTATATAGTACTATACTATAATAGGTTTCACACAATAATACATAAAAAACAAACCCCCCAAATAAAGAAAATATTTTAAATCTTCTAGTACAGTACCTTGAAAAGTTCAGTAGTACAGTACAAGAGCTGGTACTTCTTAGCGGTGCCAGCTATATCACCACTGCTTTTATACATGTTTGTGGACATCCTGGGCTTGAAATAAAGATACTACAGTACTGAAGTCTATATAGTACTCTACAGTAAAGTACAAAAGCACAGCCACCTGTGGAGGATGCACATGTGTGACAGTATTACGCCAGACATGTGAACTAACCTACATGATTGGACATGTGAATACATGTTCGAATCTTTGAAATTTCACAACCTGAAGGTTTGTATATAGGGGACTTACTGTGTAAGAAAGTTTCCTTGGTTGCCAAGTTGAAAGTAAACTGTTGGAAGGAAATAGCAAAGTGAGACCAGTTAGGAGGGTATTCAAAGAATCTAGGTTAAAGATGGTGGCAGATTGGTCCAAGGTGCAGATGGAAGGGGTGGTTAGATTCTGTATTAATTTGAAGATAGAGCCAACGGGAACTGGTGATGGATTAGGTCTGGGAAATAACAGATGGAATTCAGGATAAAACCAGGTTTTTGACCTCAGCAACTGAAAGGACGGAGTTG